CTCTATAACAGACTGAGAAAATTTAAGCACAATTTATGTTCCATATATAATAATAAATCATTACTATTTACTGTCTATGACGGATTCTCTCATTTTTTCGCAATCGTTATATATAGAGAGTGCAAACTGTACAATTTCTAAAACTTTGAAAATTCATAACTCCTAATAAGTGGTGTGGATCTGTGGATCCGGTATATGGAGAAGGAGACAAGCAACATATTTATTACTATGTAAAAAGAAGTCTCGCCGATAATATAATTTTCACACACTTATTTTCTTTTGCTTTGAGTTGCTGCGCAGATCAATTCTCAATATAAATCATCGAAAATCATTGGCTATAAATGTGGAATGAAAACAAAAACAAGATATCAAATGGATTTGAAGAAAAGATAGTAGTGTGAAAATTATTACGGCGATAGTTAGTAATAGTAGTGATAAAATACTCATTTGTACATACATTTAAAACACTAGCTTTCTTAAAACATATATGCAATTACCGAGATGTATATACTAATATATAATCTTATTATTACCACGTGAACATGTTCGGTAGGATTTTGACAGGGAGTCACAATTCTAGATCAGGAATGTGTAATTTTATTACGTGATATGAATATGGATGGTTTAAATCAGAGTTCAAGGCAGGTTTGATAAATATAGATTATATTTGTTTTAGTAGGTCGTATAACAATAAAAGAATTATTTATCATTATCATTATTATTATTTAAAAAAAATTGGGATACAAATTCGGGAATAATTTTCTTCACATCAAAATATTTTTTTACAAAATTTATTAACAAATAAGTTAATGGCTATAATTGTGTGAAATAGAAATGACCTTTTACGTGCTCGTGTTATAATTAAGGGCCAACGGAACAAGAAATTTCTGAGGAACTTGATAAGAAGATAAACATGATAAACATTTAGAAGTTAAAATTCTAGAGGAACTTGACGAATTAGAATCCTAATGGAACACTGGTAAATTCCAAACAAAGAAAAGTAGCTAGTAGTATTAGGACGAATGAATTGAAATTACAATTAATAATAATAATATTATTATTATTATTATTTTAAAAAATTTGACTTAGGGGGGATAGCTGAAATGAAAGCTGAAACAACCCGTGGAAAATTTTCAAATCCTAAACCAGATTTGGTTAAAGAGGTTACGGAAACTACCAAAGAAGCACCAGTTTGTTGCACATTTATCTTAAAGATCCGCGAATAATAATTACAATTATTTAACACAATGAAGAAATAAAGTTCAAATTTATTTTTAGGATTGTAGAATGTAAATCATTAAATATATTTCGATGGTTTAATAATAAAATATAAATCAACCAAGTTTTTAGAATAATTGGGGATCAATCCATACCAAATTATCCTGATAAAAATTTACCTATTTTGTTAATTATAATGAAGATTTAGCACAACGATTGGTTAGATTATCAACGTTAGTATGAAATTAGAAGGTATGCACTAATAATATTATTATATCTAATCGATCCAATCAATTGATTATTGCTTGATTTATTGTTAGATCTTGAAAAATATCTTTTGTCAATGGATGTAATTGAAGATAATGAGAACAGATCAGGGAAAAAAAATTTGGCTGAAAAACAGAAATCAATAAAAAAATCCAGCAATTGGTATATTAGGCGATGATGATGATGATGATGATGATGATGATGAGGGTATTTATTATTAAAAGATTATATATGTATGCTATCAATATTAAGATTTGCTTGTTTGTCAAAGATGGTGGAAGAGGTTTCCTGTAATGTTATTATTATTTGAGAGTTTGAATTAAAATATGGTGGTGGTGTAAAGAAGGAATTTCCCGTTATGTGTTTGATTTGATCTAACTCTAGCCATTTATTTAGCATGTAATTTTTGATTTTGAGATATGCATGAATATATATTAAAATGTGTCAAATTACCCATTTTGCAAGATATAAATAAAAACAAAAAATAATAAGAAATAAACCAATTAAATAAGATACTTTTAAAAAATTACGTCTATTACAAATTTGGGATGTGTGTAACAATGAATTTAAAGTTATGGCAAAATACTTCTGAATAATAATGAATCCCCCTCTCTATGTAAAATTGCATAAATGTTGTGTTGGTTGACAAATAGAATTTTAAGGTTCATCAACAATTCCTGATATATCATTTAAATATTAATCTAACCAAAAACTATCCATATTTTTTTTTAAAAAAATGAATGTAATGAATGTATGGGAGACATATACATATGTATAAATAGACTGATTGATCATAATTATTTATTTTTTCAGAAATCTTATTTAAAGAAGTGAAATTTAATTTTCGAGTAGAAAAATTTTTCACATGAACTACCTTGCGAGTTTACTGTTGAACTTTAGAAAACATCATTATTATACTTTTTTATTTTTGCTTAGTAAAAAAATAGAAACATTTCACAAATAAATTATAATATAAATATAATATAAACAAAAATACAATAAAACAATATAACAATAAATTTTTGGTTAAAAAAAAATTGATGCACACGTATATATATATTATATAGAAAACCCAATTTAAGTAAGAAAGAATTATTTATTCATAAATAGGTTAATTAGTATACCGTCGTCATTTGATTTTATCAATTTCCAAAAAGATTTATTTTTGAACTTTTTCCTAAAAAAAAAAATGTTTTTTCATTAACATTTTTACCTAAATATTAATAGTTAATATATAATAGTTATATATTATTATAAAACTAAAAAGATAATCAATAATTCATAAACTAAAAAAAATTATAAATCTTTCACGGTGTCATTAGAAAGAAAAAATTCTATCCCTGGGTTTACTCCCAAACCTGAAGCCACAGTCATTACCATTTCAAAAGATATCGCAAAAACATCACCACCATCGTCATCACCATCAACACCGCCACCATCATTATCGTCACCACTCAATGATAATAATAATATCATCACACCACCTAAACCGATTGCTAATGTCGACGCTAATGCTAATGTTAATGTTAATGCTAACTTTGAACCAAATAGTTGGCAATATCAGGTTGTTGAAAATTTATTAAAGATAGGAGGCTATGGGATAGGAAGTAACGCTCCATTAAAATATGCAGCTATAAAAGCACAAATATCTAAACCATCAAAAATTAAGTTAGCCCAATTATCTCAATCAACTGTTGCTCTTCCATCACAATCACAAAAACTTCATAATAATAATGATAATCATCCACCGCAATCAACGGCAAAAAAAAATATATTTTCAAAAGAAAAAAAAAAAAAATTTATAAAATTTGCAAGTAATGATGAAATAATTTATGATAACAACAACAATGATGACGATGACGATGACGATGACGATGGCGATGACAACGACGATGATTATTATAAATTAAAAGAAGATCAAAAGTTGGAAGAATCAATAATAATAGATCCAGGTGAGATTGTAATTCCATTGAAACCATTAGAAAATCTAGAATTATCAAACGTTGAGAAAGGCTTAAAAGATTCCATCTCAAGTGTTAATGGCTATGGCGGGGATATCGATAATAAAAGAGAGTCTCAAGCTTCTTCAGGATCATGGCCTTCGTGGATTTATACTTATTATACTCGTGCTTACGACTCTTATACTATGAAATCTACCTCTTCAAAAAGAAATGGAGATACAATATCGTCATCTGCTGATAATAGTAACAGTTTATCATCTGTTTCTGGTGCTGGTGTTGGAAATCCTGGGGACGATAATAGTAATTCTAATAGTAGTAGTGGTGAACATAGTAATAGTAGTGATGAGGATGACGATGATGACGATGATGACGATGATGACGTGAACAATATAAAAGATAAAAAGAAAAGTAATAGAAATAGAAAGAAAAAATTAAAAATTAAAAGTAACGATAGCAATGGTGATGATGATATTATGGCTATTAATACTAATGCTAATAGATCAAAAAGAAATTACATTGCTAATTCTCATAAATTATCAAAACAACATTCACCTTTAAATTTTTATAAATATCAAACGCATAACCAAAATTCATTCTACAAAGCATCAAAACATCAAGAGGCATCTCCCATATGTCCTTACGGTTCAATATTATTTCTATTAGGGTTTTTATTTCCTCCTTTATGGTGGCTTGGGTCGATTTATCCTCGTAGACCTTTTACTTGTTCCGATTTTAAATGGAAATATTATAATAAATTGATGTCAGCATTTTCATCGATATTGATAGTTGGAATTATTGGTATTTTAGTTTGGTATTTAAGATTTTATGATGAATCTTCGACTGTAAGATAATAACAATATTTAATATTTGTAATAATAATAACAACAACAAATAATAGTAATAATAGTAATAATAATAATTAATATTCATTAATTTTAAAAGTAATTTTATTATCATATTTGGAAATTATTTTGTATATATAATTAATTAATCAATCATAAATTTTTCTAATAATAATAATAATAAATTTTTTAATAAATAAAATATAATATATACAGTCAACCCTTATAAATGTAGGATGTTAATGGTCCGGACGGACTGAACGGACCGCGGTCTGGATCGTTAGATTTTTTATCACAAAAGCATTTATTTCAATTTGTTAAAAACATTATTTTATTACCATAATTTAATTCATATATTCAAAAAGAATATATACGGGGAAAAGGCTTCTTCTGCTGGAACACTAGTTGATTGTACAATACTGGATACTCTGTTTCATGAGTTTGCCACCACACCAAGGTTCTATATACGGATAAACTGGAGTTCTCAAGTATTTATCTATCTTCAGATTGTGTAGTTACATTTTGATGTACAATGTTGTAAAAGTAATCACAGGCAGAATTTGATTTTTTGAATATTGTTGTGGTCACGATGAAATTATATTTTGAAGTTCTTTAACTATTTCATTTGCAATATTATTTGCTCCAAATTGCCTAAATGCAGTTAGTTAACTTTGTTCTAGGATCTAAAATGGTGTTAATAATGGTGATCGATCTAAAAATATTCGCCAAGTTTTACTGATTGTTGTAGTGCATTGAGATAATGATCTGGTGTGATAAACATACAAATAAAAGCTAATCTTACATCACCAATTGTTGCATATGAAGACGATGATGATAATAACTTGGCTGCTTCATAGACTGGTTCTAAGATATGGTATAATTCCTAAAACAAATAAATACGCATCTTTTATAAATAAAAAAAAACATAAAAAATGGAGAATAAAACTTATTCCAATCAATATGCATCCAATCTGACGTGTTAAGTATTTTAATTCTCCATAATTATTATTAAATAAACACTCAATAATTGATCTTATTTCAATGAATCTTTCAATCATTAAATAAGTGGAATTCCACCTTGTCTCAATGCCTAAAATTGGCATCAGAAAAGGTTTGTTTTTTATGACGATATTGCTTAATTTTTTTTAATGGATCATTGACAAGTTCTATCTACTGCTAGATTTATGATATGTGATACACATCTATAATGTTTTCCAAATCTTAATTCCAATTCGTTTGATAGCTTTTCTCCAATAGATACCATGTTGGTTGTGTTGTCTGTAGTAAGTGATATAATTTTACCTCCCATGTCAAAATCTTGATATGATCCAGGGTTGCCAGTAGACTTCGTTGATACCAACGAATTTTGGTATGCTTCATTGCCATTAATAAAATACTAAATATGGTTAAAATGTTACACCAACAGACTGTCAAATAGACTATATAGTACCATAACCAAACCCTGATATAATCTGGTGTCATTTGTGAATTCATGTAATGGATACTAGATATGTGATGGATGTTCATATGTCCATTGTCAAAGCAAATTTGCTTTTAATATAATGCTTAATATTATCATGTCTAATTAAAATTAATAAATCTTTTAATTGGTTTGATGACATGGAATTATATATTGAGGACTAAGCTGTATTTGCTATATAACGCGTTGCACAAATATTAATCTGTTTCCAAATCTAATTGCATTTCCATGTTTTTTCTTTCTTTACTAATAAAATAAAAAATATTTGCTTCTTATTTGCATTAAATAATATACATTTATTAATTTTGCGTAATTGCATGGATGTTTGACATCCTATTTGTTTTTAAACTAGTATATTCCTGAATATTTTTAAGCCAGTTCAGGAGGAATTAGACAGGGTTACAGCAATCAAGAATTCCTTCAAATACACAGACAAATGGACAAGAATTCTAAATGACTGGCATGAAGCAGTTGTGTACAATAAAGATAAAATTGAAAAGGAATTAATACAACTAAATTTTCAGGAAGGGGCACAGGGCTCTGGAGTATACATGCAGCCCAAATTGGTTTGGTGATTTTGATGGTCAAAATTATTCCAATTTTGATGGCCCTACAAAAAGTTTAGGTGCTTAAAATATATTTAAAACATGCTTAAAATCTACTTGAAGGTGCTTAAAATGTGCTTAAAACATACCTTTTTTAATAATGAACAAAATTAAGTATGTTTTAAGTAACCTTTTAAGTGTATTTTAAGTGTATTTCAAGTATGCTAGTTTACCATCAAAAGTATGTTTTAAGGGTATCTAGACGTTTCCCCAACAACCATTTTCCCAGCAGGATGTTTCCCTGACACCATTTCTCTGATAGGACATTTCCCCAACAGGACATTTCCCTGACAGGACATTTCCCTGACAGGACATTTCCCCAACAGGACATTTCCCCAACAAGACATTTCCCCAACAATTACATTTTGTATTACAATATTTATTTGTTTCCCTGCCATGCCATATCCAGATAAGTTTATCAAACCATTTAAGTCTATTAACCCATTCATTAGGTGACTAAGCTGTTTAAGTCGGTTAGGCCATTTATTAGCCAATTAATATTAAATATAGTTAACAAAATCTTGTCAGAGAAATGTATTTGTCAGGGAAACGTCCTGTCGGTGAAATGGTGTCAGTGAAATGTCCTGTTGGTGAAATGTCCTGTCGGTGAAATGGTTGTCGGGGAAATGTACCAGACCCTGTTTTAAGTATATTTTAAGTATATAGTATATTTTAAGTGTGTTTTGAGTATAATTTCATATACTTAAAACATACTTAAAACTCACTTAAAATGTTCTTGTTCTCTTCCATCAGTATATTTTAAGTATATTTTAAGTATATGATGTATATTTTAAGTGCATTTTAAGTATCTAAACTTTGTGTAGGGTGGTAGAAAGTAGAAATTAATTATGGCACTCACTATTAAAACCATAAGTGTAACACCCCTTTATGACATGTGTAGCCCCCTTTAAAACAGTGTCAAAATACTTTGGGCTACATGTATACTCTGGAGTTTATTGAAGCTGCTTCATTGTCAAGGGCATTTCTAATATCCCCTTGCAAGCACCTGAGCTGGTTAAGCATGTTAGCCAAAAGGCAGCCAGACTTCTAGGGTAAAGATGACTTTACAACTAAGAAATTACAACTCAAGCAAGAGGTTACAGGGTTATAACATTAATTTGTGGTCCACCGATCAATAGAGACATTTTATTATGTTTTATATTAAAATAAGATAAAAGTCCGATTATTGGCTATTGAGGTCTACCAATCAAAATAGTTAAAATCACGTGGCTTATCAAAATACTTTAAATTTCCTTATTAATAGTTTATTCTTGAATTCCATGTAAAATATACTTACAAATAAAAGAAATACACAGTGAATCTCAATTTAGTGGATATTAATTAAAAATCTCAGTTTTATGGATAAAGTTCAAAGAACAGTTCCATAATAAACCTTAATAAAAATTTTCTTGATATATGATTGGATTGGTCTAAAGACCTCCTATTGCTGCGCCATGCGGCCAAATTTCAAAATAGCAATTTGTAATTCATTCAAAAATGTAATAAAATTTTTCAAAAATAGGACTTCACGTGATTTTAGTTTTCTTACTTCCAAATTTAGATAAAATAGTCGATAGCTAGTCTAAATTTGGTAATACTTTTCCTAAATTTAGAAATGATCATAGTGGACAAATTCCTCGCGAGCATAGTAAAGTACATGTTTTAAAAAAGAATA